GTGGTGTTAGCTCTGATTTTTACTTTGCAAAGGTTTCTCTTCCTTGCAAAGAATGATCTCATTAAGACAAGCACTTACAAAGTGCTAGACCTTGTCTTAAGCGTCGGGGATATGATAACTTTACTACCAAGACAAGCATAATTCCTCTCTTTATGTAGATGTCTCCACTACTTACACAGAAATGGAAATCGTGAGGTGATTGCTAAGAGAGGGATCATGAAGGGGATATACAGTAGTTCAGTGGCAGGTAAGGCCTTCCTAGGAAGGGATGTTGAGGTAAAGTACAGAAATTTGCCAGATGAACTGATAGGAGACTATTCCACATAGAGGTAAGAGCTTATGTGAAGACTCAGGAGGGATGAGGATATTGTCCAGACCACACCTGGCTCACCAATCTGGGAAATCACTCCTTAGCAACTATGCTTGGTAGGGTGCCAAGATGCCAGATTTCCCCATTTCCATGTTGGAGAAAACATGTGTGGAGCAGAAGCATTATTTCCTGCCTCGCTTCTGAGGCTGATGCTTTTAGTTGTGTGTTTAATGTCCTAGGACATTAGACCATCGTGCCTTTAAAACTCCCTCAGGATGAAGAGTGGAATCTATGCAGAGGAGCAGTCAAGAATCTCCTTTAAATAACACCCAGCACACTGCTTGCCATAGAGCAGGAGGCCCTTACACCAGGAAGTACACTGAAAAAGAAATGAATGAACACCCTACAATTTCAGATGCTTTATCATTTAATAACATCATGTGAAAAACAATCTTAAAAAGTTGAAGTTACTGTGCGTATGTTCTCAACTAGGCTGGACTGAGGTGTGTGTCACTCTGGGTAAAGTCTCTTTACAATCTAAATTATGTATAGCAATTAAATGTATAAATAATAATTAAAATTAATAAAAATAATTATAAAAAAGTCGAAGTTACCTATTGATAATACTTTTTAATTTTCGTTATTTTATATAACTCATATTTATTCTTGAGACCAATTTATGGGTTATGTTACCTACATTTTTGTTTTGTTTTGTTTTTTAATTTGCTTTAGGGCATGTGTACTTGCTGGACTGAGATGGGGGAGGTGAAAAAATACGCCCCCCCCCCGAGGTAATGGCCATTACACAATCCCTTCTCCGTTCTCCTCTTGGGATTTTTGGCACACATGCACATGCACCTGGCATGTTTTTCAAGCTGCCAGATCAGGGACTTGAACTGAACAGTCGGCCATGTGGGATCCAGCTGCCTTAGCCGTCATACCACCTGGCTAGCCCATGTAGGCTACTCTCTTACTGTTTGCTTCCTGGATTATGACTTTGGGCTTATTATTGCACAGTAATACATGGATAGAAAGTATTAAAGGGAAAATTGAGAAGAAAAATTATTTAAATTTCTCACCCACTGTTGGTGTTGATTCATTATCACCTCACTCATGAGTGCTCTTTCTACATTAAAAATATGAAAAATAGTTTAAGTGAAAATTGTACAATATAAAAGGCATGAATTAATGCCTGATGTGCATATTATATTAGTATTATTTGAATAATTCATAGTAAAGTTTTAAAAAACCTCTATAATTAAGCATTCATTATCTATAATAATGAGCTGTTCCAGGGCCATGTTTCTCACAAAGTACTTTATAACAGACTGCATTATCCTCCCCACTTCCTGCCCCTTTGAGTGGCACACCCTGTTCTACCATCCCACTTTAGGTGGAGGCTAGAACTGGAAATGAAGAAATGATTCTGCTCACACCATTCATTGTGAGAAACTGCAGTTGGTATTCTATAAATAATTGCTAGTCTGAAAATTTTTTTACCACGTTTATTTTTAAACAGATGTTTATTCTATTAATAAGTCCGCCCTGATCAGTGATAACAGATATCATTTCTTTAAATATGTCCATGGTCGAGAAAATGTAAATTATTCTGTCATCTACTTCCAATTCTTCTATTGAGAGAAATAATTCTTTGCTCAGTCTTTATGTTTGACAGACTGTTTTTCCTTTGCATCTTTCACTTGTGTTATTATAAGCTATTTCCATAATTAGATATTAAATAAAACCAAAAGTGAGAAATTCACTTTGGTGAACTGAAATGAAAATAACTGTATTTGTTGTGTTTATTTTGCTACAGAAGAGTTTTGTTGGAAATAGCTTCATCCATAAGTATCAAATACTTGTAAATTAAGCAAAGAAGCTTTTTGATGTTTACGTATTTTTTTAAGACCTTTAGGATTTCAGTTGTCCAAATAAACTGTAGTCCTTTTTTAATGATACTCTCTCATGACAGGTCTATGGAGAGCTTCTCTTTATTTAGTGTTCTTAAGGTTGCCATACCTCCTACAAACCCAACACCCCAAACGAGTTAGGATCTTGGCAATAGCCTGCATCTCACTAAATGGTTCCATTTTGTCCCTCTCAACCCCCATGTTTCAGGTAGCCTTTTTTTTTTTTTTTTTTTAATTCAGTGTTCATTAGTCCCTTGCTTTGTTTCCTCACTTATCTTTTATTATACCATTGTGTATTCCCCATAAGCATTTAAAATTTTTTAAATTTAGTTGCCTTTACCTTTATTAAGAGTGTGATCCAGTAGGGGCTTGCAGGTGGCATGGTGGTGGTTAAGGTCCTGGACTCCCACATGGGCAACTGCAGTTGGAGACCTGGATCTGGCAGCTTGCTTTCTCACTTTCCCTTTCTCTCTCTCGGGTCAAATTAAAAAATAATGATAATAAATAAAAATTAAATAAATAATTCTTTAAAAAAAATAAAAGAAAGAAAGAAAGTATGTGGAACCAGCAGATGACGTAATGATTACATCGCTGGACTCACACGTAGTTGACTGTGGTTCAAGTCCCAGACCAGAGGCTTAAAACTCAGGCCAGGCACGTGTGCGTGTGTGCATGCCCAAGATCCCGAGGAGAATGGAGAAGAAGGGATTGGGGATGACCATCCCCCCTGGGGGGTGATTTCTCGTATTTTCTCTCTTTGTCCCTCTCTGTCTCTCCAGTGAGTGCACACACCCTATAGCAAAATACTCTCTCTAAAAAAAAAAATGTATCATACTATATGCAATCTCTGGTACCCATTTATCTATCATTATGTTACTAAGATGCTCCCTGTTGTGTGTAATTTTTCTTTCATTTTGTCCAAAGCAGGAGGAGACCACTGCTCATTTACTCTCCTGCCTGTTGTTGGAGAGTTACATTGTTCCTAGTTGAGAGCAGCTGCTGTGAACATTCTTGTCTTTGACTCCTTCTTTTACCTAATTTTTCTTAGGAATGAAATTGTTGGGTGATAGGGTATATGACTATTCAACTTTAGCAGATAATGCCAACTTGTTTTCTAGAGTATACCACTTTATACTGAAATATACAATATCTAAGAGACCCTGCAGATCCACATCCTCTTTAATACTTGGTATGGTCGAACTTTTAGTTTTTGTCATTAAATGGATATGAAATGATACAGCCTTAATTAAAAAAAAGTTTTTTATTTATTTTCTCTCTTATGAAATACCTGTTTATAACTTTTTGTCCATTTTTTCCCCTATTAAGATGTGTATAGGGGCCAGCAGGTTGCATAGAGGTTAAGGTGCTGGATCCCATATAGCCAACTGCATAGTTTGAGTACTGGACTCTGTGGGTTAAAAATCACACCTGGCACATGTGTGTGCATGCCCTAAATCCCGAGAGGAAATGGGATTGCAGTGTGGCCATGCTTCCTGGGAGGTGATTTCTCATTATCCCTCTCACTCTGGT